GACAGAGAGAGAGTGAGGGGGAGAGAGAGAGAGAGAGAGCAGGGAGGGGAAGAGAGAGGGAAACACAGATCCTAAGCAGGCTCCAGGCTCTGAGCTGTCAGCACAGAGCCCAGTACGGGGCTCGAACCCCCAAGAAACTTGAGATTATGACCTGAGCCAAAGTTGGAACGCTCAACAAACTGAGCCACCCAGGTACCCCTAAAAACCTCTGTTCTAAAAACAATTATTGAGGCACCTGGGTGGCTCAATCAGTAAAAGTGTCCAACTTCAGCTCAGGTCATGATCTCACAGTTCGTGGATTTGAGCTTTGCATCAGGCTCTGTGCCGACAGCTAGCTCAGAGCCTGGAGCCTGTTTCGGATTCTGTGTCTCCCTTTCTCTCTGACCCTCCCCTGTTCACGCTGTCTCTCTCTCTCAGAAATAAATAAAACATTAAAAAAAATTAATAAAAGCAATTATTTACAATAAGCTATTTAAGAGAAAAAGCAATTATTTGACAACATTTTTGGTAGTTCCTTCCTAATTCCCTTTATTGGATCCTCTGCAGACCTCTTAGTAATTTGTGGCTCAGTACTTTGGCCTATTCTCAACTACACTCACTCCCTTTGATTACTGGCTTTCAAACTTTTAATTATGCCACACAATAAGACTTTCTTAACGCAACTCATTATACACTAAATAAAACTGAAACAAAAGAATCACAAAGAAATACCCTACTACATGGGATGCATCTGATATTTTTTTATTCTGTGCTTTTGTTCCTTTCCTCTTCCTTTTTTTTTTTTTTTAATACTGGTTAGTATTCAGCAAATTGATTTCAGACCCATTAATGGGCCACTACTGACAGTATAACAGTACTATTCTAGGTGACCTCCAGTACCACAGGTGTAAATATCATCTATGACTATTTTTAACTCAGTGACTCCCTTTCTCCTCAACTTCAGATTCTTATATGCTACTTGACATCTTCCATTAGATATTTTTCTAAACCCGTTCTTCTCCCATTTGCAGTCCCCTTGTTGATAAAATGGCAAGACCATTCACCCAGATGCGCAGGCCCTTAATTCTGAAGTCTCACTCAACTTATTCTCATAACCTGCCATTTCTACTTTTGAAATCTATGCTAAATCCAACTTCTTAGTACCTCTACCACTATCAACCTAAGTCATCACCAACTCTTATAAAGACTACTACAAATATCTATTAACTATTTTCTTCCACTCTCTACACATCTGTCCACTCTCCAATAGTCAGGGTGATCCTTAAAACATCAATCAGATCACATCCCCTGCTCACAACTGTTCAGTGGCTCTCCCAAAACACTTAAAATCCCAGTTTCCTACCATGGCCTACAGTTTGCCATGACCCTAGCTCTCCTTTTTCTGACCTGATCCCCTATCTCTGCTCCCTCTTGCCCACCCACTCCTCTCCAGTTCTCCCTGCTGTTCTTGGATGAAGTCAGGAATACTCCTACTTGAGAATTTTTTGTACCTGCTATTCCTTAGGCCTAGCTTGCTCCTTCATTTCATTGAGGTGTCTGAATATTAATTCAAGAGCAGACCTTTCCTGACAACCTGAATTGAAAAAGCACTCCCGTTACCTCCTAGTCCCTTATGCTTTTCCTTTTTAAAATTTTTTTAGTAAACTAGTGCCTGAGTTGGGGAGAGGGGCAGAGGGACAGCAAGAGAATCTTAAGCAGGCTCCATAGTCAGCACAGAGCCACATGTGGGGCTCGGTCATGAGATTGAGAGGCTTGATCTCAGGACCCTGAGATCATGACCTAAAGCCAAAATCAAGAGGTAGGACACCCAACTGAGCCACCCAGGTGCCCCGTTTTTGTTTCTTTATAGCACCTCTTACCTAACCTCATATTTCCAATGCTTATCAGTACTCAAATTTTAGTTCAAGAAATGAATGAATGAATGTACATAAATGAATATCAGTAATCACTGTAATGAGAACTTTAGTCTTGGTACATGAGCCTCATACTTCTTGACACCATTCTTCCAAATGAATAAATTTAAGAGTTAACTACGTATACATTGAAATGAAGAAACAAGAGGACCTCTATGAGCTGAATTGGAAAAAGTATACCTAGAATCCATCCAAACTTATAAATCTAGTCTTTGTGTTTACTGCTACTCAGTCAGGAGAACTAGGAACCTACTGGATTCAATATACTTAATAAGTCAAATATCTATATATGAAGAAATATAAAGTAATGGATAAGAGCCTAGACTCTCTGGAGGTGACTAATTGGGTTCAAATCCTGGTTCTGATATTTAATCGTGATATAACTTTTCTATGCCTTTGCTTCCTTATTTATAAAATGGGGGCAATAATATCAGATTTACCATATAGTGTGCTGTGAGAACCTAACAATGCCTATCACATTAGTAAGGCTGTAAATAAATACTGGCTATTATTATTCATTTGTAATTTATCTCAAATTCCTTATCCACTGACACTATTAAAAAACAAATTTTGACTGGCAATCCACAAATTATACTTTATACTTTCAAACTTCTCAGGAAAGGTAAGGGATTTGTATTGAATTGAAAAGTTTCCCCTCTCCCTCCCTCTCACAAATATTGGGGAAAAAAAAATCTGTTACTGAGGCTGAAAGCCAAGAAGTCACAAAGCGGTAGAATATGTGATACCCTAACTTGCATGTTAACTGTTCATATTGTACAAAATTAACAGTTCAACAGTTTTCAAGTAAGAAATTTACAAATTCATTTTTCTTAAAGATTAAAGTTTAAATCCTTTTAATTCCTTACATCAAATGTTCAACATTATGAATATTAGAATTCAGCTTGCATTTTATACATTTCACAAAATAACACAATTTGGTTGCAAATCTCATCCTATTTTCTTACTATCTATATTTTATACGTATAAAAAACCTTGCCTCTATAGGCTTAGATAGCAGCTAACTACCTTAGATACTAAAGGTTAAAAAATCAAAGAAAAAACCTGAGCTACTTCAGTCCTCATTATATTATGTACCACGGGGATACATATAGTTAAGTCCTAGAGGACAAAGTTCAATAATTAAAATTAACCATTTTCTTATCTGGGTAAGAGGTGGTGAAAAACTGTTTAAATGTGAAAAAAGCTTACTGTAACTTTAGCCATAAGAGAAGTATGTCATCTCTCTGGTGAATCAGGGAATCATCTACTGCTACAGAATCATAATGCTTGCAGCTAAGTCTGACCTCATAATTAATGGGGATCACAGCATAAAACGCAAGCCGGGGGCACCTGGATGGCTCAGTCAGTTGAGCGACCGACTTCCGGTCAGATCATGATCTCAGTCCGTAGATTCGAGGCCCGCGTCTGGCTCTGTGCTGACAGCCTGCAGAGATCCCCACGATCAGGGGACTGCGATCAGGGGACTTCTGATTCTGTATCTCCCTTTCTCTCTCTGCTCTTTCCCCTGCTTGTGCTTTCTTTCTCTCTCAAAATAAATACGTAAACATAAAAAAAAAAAGTCAGAAAGCCTGATATAAAATTACTGAATCCCCACAGCAAACAATACCTAGGCTTGTTATGATCTAAATGGCTTAAATCCTTGTATTCTAAGTACTAACCATAACAATTCAGTGTGCTACTTTACATACTTGAAGATAAAAACTTATACTAAGGAGTCGTATATACTACAGATGTTTTAATTGACTGGTCTACAGAATTTGTTAAGTTTCAAGGTTTGCTAAATTGTTGCTATTATAGAAAGGCTGATTGGATAATCAGTACTTATTCTTATTGCAAATCACAGGTAATAACCAAAACTACATACTGAACACAGACCTGTTGTTGCTTTTAAACTGTGATGGGCCCAATATTACAGAAGTTCAAGTTTGAGTTTTGCTTAAAGCAGGTAAACATGTAGAAGTATAAAAAAATAAAATAGAAGAACTGATAAAGCAATTCTCAAACCTTACTGATTTCTTCCCAGACTTATTTTTAAAGTTAAACCTCTTAATGTCTTCAGGTATAACTCAAATATAATTTCACATTATGAGTATGCTTAAGGCAATCCTCTTAGTAGTGTAAACTCCCCACCAGGCATTAAAAAAAAAAAAACTCACGTAGCTTAAAGTTTGATTTATTAAATATGACAGCAAATCATTCAGTTGTATTTACAACAAAGAATTTATTTTCACAAAATTTAAATGACCGTGTTTACAACTGCCACATCGCTAACTCTTGCCAGCTTTTTTCCTCCTTTAATGCCGTTTCTATAGGTAAGCTTAGAAAAGCAGTACTCTGTTAAATCATTAATTTAGCACAAGATATACTATTAAATGCTGGCATTTCCTTGGCATTCAAGAATTTATAACAAAAAATGGGATCCTGGGGTTAAAAATAAAAGGAAAAAGACAAGAAACCTAATCTCAAACCAGGTAGTTGGGATGCGAAGTACGGGCGTTTCTAAAGTCAAAGCAATTTCCGTGCTAGTTAAACTCAAACTTTGCCCACAGAAGTTTAAAACCGAACTGAAACACTGTTTTGATCGTGTAACAGAAACAAATGGCCCAAACAAAGCAAATCCTTTGGAGCAACTGTTAGGCAGTATTCACATACAACCGCTTTCTCCAACCAGGTAGGCGTGGAATGGAAAGCTAAGTGCCAAAGAAAAAAAAAGTGAAAGTGTACCAAAAGGTCTTAAACTGCACTTAGCAGCAAACGGCGAACGACTCCACAGACTGCTGCAAAGAGAAGCTGCTCTATCCCCCCTTTAGCAGAAGCCGCGGGGACTGAACCTGGGAGGCCTGAGAAGGGGCCCGCAGCCTCCACCAGCACCCTCAGAAGCTGTGGCTCTCAAAGGGGTTGAGGGACCCCAGCACCGGAGACACATCGGGACACTAATTCCACGCCCTTGCCCTTCCCACCACCCCCTCTCCATCCCGCATTGTCGGCCCCGTTGCCTCCAGATGCAGAGAGTAGTCAGGGGGGATCAGGGGACTGCGAAGCCGGCGGCCTGAGCGCCCTCTTTACCTGGTCGCCGAGGCGCGGCCAGGCAGGGAGGGTGCGTGAGCGTGTCAGCGACACGAGCCGCCTGCGCCTTCCCGCCCCGCGCGAGCCAGGTTTCCGAGGCCGCTTCTGCGAGTCTTCGCCCACGGACCACTGGCCGCCAGAGAAGCCGGGGGAAAACAACAGGCACAGTGTCTTGGAAACAGCCCTGCCGGCCGTCATTCATAATCCGGCGGACCGGAAGCCGGGGGTGACATCACTTCCTTCCGTCGCACAGCCAAAAAGTTCCCCTCCTCGCACTGGTGCAGGAACCTTTGTTTCCCTCTTCTCGGAGCCGGCTAGTTCCGGGACCGGTTCGGAAGGGGCCTCCGGGAACGGACGGAGTAGCGGGGCGGAGCGGTGAGTTGTGACGAGCTCCCCGGCTCCCAGCCGCCTCTGGGAGGCTCGAGACCTCCGCGAGGGCCGAGGTGGGAGAGTAGTTCCGTGGGGTCTTGGTTTCCTCGCTCCTTAGGAGGAAACCTCGTAATCTGCGGGCGCTCGCGTGCCGCAGGCTGACCGCTCTCTCCCTTCGGTGAGGGTTGTGCTTCCACCGAGTCTGTTGCGGGCTCGCCCATCTAGGGCACGGCCCCAGGGACCAGGTCCCTAGAACCCTGTCTTGGACCTTCCTCGGAAGGTTTTGGCGACTTCTCTGTGCAGCTCCCTCTTTCCGCCTCCCCTGTTCCTCCGGCTCCTAGAAAGACCTCCCCCCGTGCTAGGCCTTCGGTGTGTCATGCTTTGATCAAAGGATTGAGATTCTTTTTCTGAGCGTCTGATGTCGCTTTTCAGCTGCTCTGTCACTTAGTTTGGAATCGTGGTCTTTCCTCTTTCTGTGCATTTCCAGACGTGTCCCTAGCATATCAGCATAACTCAAGGCCAAGAATTCAGTAGAAGAATGAAACGGGCAGCGTCTTTAAAAAATATTTTTATTAGAAGGTTGCAAGAGCCTCCGAAGACATAAAGGGCAAAGCCGTTATGAGATGGCAACCCTAACATTGCACTCGGTGCGAATAGATTCAGTTTCCTTTATTTTGTGCATGTGCAGGTGGTCAACTTTGGAATTTTTTTTTTTTTTTAAGATTGGCATGTAGGGTGAGACATGAATATCCAATTTGGGTTAGAGAGATAACAGAAGCCCTAGAAAATGACATTTAAACAAAACCTAGTTCATTCATTCAATAAATATTTTTGAGAGCCTAAATTTCAAACACTATATAACTGAATGAAGTTAAGTCCTGGGCCTCATGGACTTACTGTCTAGTGGTATTAACGAATTTAAGCCAGGTAAAGGATTGGGAAGAGAGTTTTGCAGGTAGGAACTTGTACAGTCTCTAGTTATGAAAGAGGTGGTTTTGTTTATTTTGCTTTTGCTTTTTTGATGTTAGTGAGGTGGGGGGGGATTAGGTGTAAGAAGGATGGGTTTGGGAACTTTGTAAATGGTTAGAATTGTGTAGAAGGAGAAAAAAGACCATTATACTTTGATCCCTAATAATTCTATAGCCATAATCTTATGGTACCTTGCAAAATAACAGAATGGTAGGCAAAAAGATATAGACTCTCCCTCATAAAGTACTCAGAGTTTTACAGAGAATATAATACTTGTGGGAGAAAAAAAGAGTATGCTTCAAGGTAAAAAGTCCTAGTACCATGAGAAAGCACTACCAGATATTCTAAGAGGGAGAGATTATTAGTAGTATTTGGGGTGGAGAAGGACACAACAGAGGTGAAGAGTCCTCATGGGAAGTAATATTTGAAAGTAGAATTTGGACATCTAAAAATAGGTAAAAAGATTCCCAGACAGAAAAAGCGGGTAGAGGTGTCAAGGCCAGCTAATGGCTCTGCTGTAAAGAGAATCTGTATATGAAGATTTAAAGTTTTTGTGCCAGTTCATGAATTGTCTTTTTAAATGGTAGGTCAAGAGATTAGGCTTTATTTTGAAGACAGTAGAGAGTTTTAATTTTTGAAGAAGAAAAATAAGGAAGAAAGAAAAATATGTTTTAGGAACATTAAATGGCAACAGTGTTGAAGTAAAGGAGAATAACTAGGTAATTGCTATAATACCAAAAAGAAAGAAAGAAAAAAAAAAGGCTGTTATAAAGACCTGAATGTGAGTTCTAGCAATGGAAGTGAAAAACAGGTACAAAATGTGAGAAAGATTGCAGAGTTAGAATCCACAGGAAAGGCCTGCTGATTGTTTGTTGTAACGAATAGGAGAAGACTTAGTTAGGAAAGGATTTAGGCCTCAGACCAGATTAACAGAAAGTTGAATCGTTCCTTGAAAAAAGTGCAGGACAAGGAACTTTTGGAGGAAAGTATTCATAATAGCTGTTTTAGTCATAACTCAATTTGAGATGTCATTAGGGCAATCAGGTAGACCTATCTACTAAGCAACTGGAAACGTGGGATTTGAGTTTAAGTGAGATTGGAGTGGTGAAAAATGTGAAACCATCTGCCTAGAGATAATATTTAAAACATGATAAATAGAAGATAACCAAGGAAGACAGTGGAAGCAGAACTAAAAAAGATAGATGAGAACAGATACTTGGGCAATACCAAGAGTGACAGGGCTAAAAAGGATGAACCAGAGGAAGAGTAGTCAGAGAAGAAAAATCAAAAAAGGTAAGTGTAATCAAAATCAAGGAGGAGAAAGTTTTTGAAAGGAAATGAATAATATGTATTCACTTGGCCAGCATTTAAGGAGTACCTGCTACCTGCCAGGCACTCTGCTAGGCACACAGTTAACAGCAGTAGATAAGCTCAGTCCTGTGATTGTCCTCATGGAATTTACATTCTAATGAGAAAGACTGTGTACATAATTAACAGTATAGTAACTCTTCCAAACTATTCCAGGATGTTTGGGAACCATATAACAGTAAGACTTCTTAATTTGTTGGGAGAATGTGGGGAAAAAAAATACTGAGATATGAAGGATGAATAAGATGGGGATGGGACACTTTCTACTGCTGTGCTGAGGTGAGAGAGTATGATCTGTTGAGAGACTTTAAGTTGTATGGCTACAACAACAGTGAGTGAGGAGTAGGAATAGTCTGAGATACTAGGTAATATTTAATGAATGTGTACTCTGTGCCAGGTGTATATTTTACATGTACTACCAGATCATGTAGGGCATTAGAGACCTCATTAAGGATCTTGTTCTTTAACCTTTCGACAGCAAGAAGTGAAAAGGGCATTTTAACCCAGTGGATAATAAAGATGTGGAGGGAAACGAGTGGTTGTGGGGAGACTGATCAAGCTAATATGGTAGGCCAGGTAATAGATGATGGTATCTTGGTCTAGGGTGGTGGTAGTAAGGATTGAAAAAAGTAGATGAATTTGAAGTATGTTTAGGAGGTTTGGTGATTGAATGCAAGGGTGGGATAAGGGTTGAGGAGGTAGAAGGAGTGGCTGATACCTGGGTTCTGGCTGGAGCAGTCAGATTAACTATCATTTGAGAAAGGGAATGCTAGAAGATCTGGTTGGGAGACAAAAGAAGAGGTTATGAGTGGTTCTGTTAGGGACATGTTGAATAGGAGGCACCGGTGAGATTCCCATTTAAAGCTGGCATTTGGATCTTGGAAGAGATAGATGAGCTGGAGAGATAAATTTATAATCCATGGCAAAAGTGTATAGATCAAATTGTCTAGCACAGTAATTCTCAAACTTTTGAAGTGGATTAGAATTACCTTGAAGGTTTAATGCAGATTTCTGCACCCACTCCCAGAGTTTTTTCTTCACTTGGCCTCGTGGTAGAGACCAAGAGTCTGTATTTCTAACAGGCTCCCAGATAATGCCTGTGCTGCTGACCCAGATGTCACATTTTGAAAGGAAGGTGTAGAGCAGGGTGAGAAGAGACCCAGAACTCATTTATGTTGAAGTGGAATAGAAACCTACAAAAAGGTTAAGAAACAAGTGGGAAAAAACAATATCTGTTTACCTAAAGCTGTGAATATATTGGTGAGAACATTTTCATGGAATGGTGGGACATAGGCCAAATTGCAGGATTAAATGCACCATAAGTAGAAGAATGAGGAAAGGGAGTATAGAATGAGGATGACTTTCTGGAGGAGGTTTTGCTATAAAATGAAGAAGACTGGATAGAAGAGGCTTGAATATATTTAAATGTAAAGGAAAAGATGCCAGTAGAAAGGAGGAGGTTGAGAGAAAGGGTGATGGAAAGGACATAGTAAATAATCCATAGCTCGGGGTCCAGATGGGGAAGGAAAAAGTAGGATCCAGGTACAGGTAGCATTGCATGGAGAGCCACCTCTTCATTTATCAGGTGGGAAAAAGGAAAAGATGGGCACAGGTAAGTTTGTAGATGTAGTGGCAGGATGTTAATTTATTTTCTCTCTGACAGCTTTTGTCTTCTCTGTGAAGTCAGTGAAGACATCTACTGAGGTAGAGTAGCAGTTTCAAGGAAAATGGAGAAAGTGTAAATGAGCTTGGAAGAAAGTGGGGAAGTGAGTTGACAAGAGAGGCATGATAGGATTGCTGTATTGTGTTGAGTGCCTAGATGAGATTGGTAACTCTGAAGATACAGAGTATATATTCATCCCAGCTTCACTTATGAGTTTGGGTGCAGGCAGGGAGAAGGTCGGATGACTATAAAGTAGATGAAACTATAGGACTGTAGAACAACGGTGTTTAGAGAAGAGAGTCTTTGAAAAAGCTGGACCATGGAATACAGGATGGGAAGTAAAATAACATACTGCAGGGTCACCTGGGTGGCTCAGTCAGTTAAGTGTCCAAATTTGGCTCGGGTCATGATCTCACAGTCCATGGGTTTGAGCCCCATGTCGGGCTCTGTGCTATCAGCACAGAGCTGTAGCCTGCTATGAGTTCTGTGTTTTCCTCTCTCTCCCCCTCTCTGGTGCTCGTGCTCTGTCTCTCAAAAATAAATAAGCATTTAAAAAAATTTTTAAATGACATACTGCAAATTATCTAGAAGGATAGAAAGAGATGGAAAAAAGAGATCATTGTTTAGTTAGATTTTCTGTGCTATATGCATTTGCTATAGATGATTCCTATTGTGAGCTAAGAATTCTTATTGAGGATTAGAATTCTAAAAAACAAAGTCCTAGGTGTGTTTCTATATAGAGATAGATATAGATATATACAGATAGAGATACCTGAAAGAAACTTAATGCTTTAATGGTAGAATTAATTTAAAATCTAGGTATTGCTTTGAAAAAAGAATGGGGTTGCCTGGGTGGCTCAGTCAATTAAGCATCCGGCTTTGGCTCAGGTCAT